GTAGCAGCAGAAGAAGCAAGTATCATAGCGTGAGGCATGATCGCATCGTTTATAAATGCGTGCGCAGTAAGCGCCGCAAAACAAGGAGCAAAGGAATACGACGAGTCTAGTATGTGGTTTATAATGTTGTTAACCTTCTAATTTAGTTCTCGAGACACCGATTGCAGTGCTCGTGTCAATGTTGCTCGGGATGGACGTAAGCTGAAAGTGCTAACGTTCCAGCTCTTCCACAACCATCCATGCAACCGGTTTCTTTTCGAAAGACACCCTATAAACCGGCGACTTACTGAGGAGGAATGCAATCAAGCTGCTGATTTATTTCGATACAACACCCCAACGTCCGAAATAAAGCAATACATCGAGAATGCATTCAGGAAACACGTCACAAGCGACGACGTCCGTAATGTACGCCGCAGGTTGCGTTCGCCCGTGTCATGTAGGTGAAATGTCACGGTATTATTGCTAGTCAATTTGCGGCAGGCCCTGCAGAGCATGGAACAGGATGGTTTCGTGGAAACCATATCTGAAGATGGCTTACTTACGCATGTGTGCTTTGCTCGTAATCAGCAAGTGCAAATGTTTCGGCGATTTCCACACGTTGTGTGCGTGGACGCAACGCATGGTACAAACCGCCTGGGGTAAGTATGACATTCGTCGTTAAATTTCGATACAGTTTCAAGTTGTACCAGTTCTTGGTAACCGACGGCATGGGTTACGGACGACCAGTTTTTTATGGGTTTGTGCGTAAGGAAACGTTTACATCGCTAGTGAAATTGTCCGGTTTATTTCGTGATGCAATGGGCCATGACTTCTCCGTACGAACTTTCGTTATGGATAAAATGGCTGCTCAAATGCGCGCAGCACAAGCAGTATTTCAGTGTGACATTCTGCTGTGCTACTTTCATATCCGCGAGGCCGTTCGAAAGCACTTGAGTTACGGGAGTTGTTTTATTCCGATCTGTAGACCAATAGCTTTCGCTCACGTTATTTATTTCACCGGATGGCTACAATTGATACAATTGATAGCAGCAGTTACATTTCTCAAAAAGCCGTCACATAGCAGTAACAAACGTGAGTTGGAATCAAGTAATCTAGTTTTAGCTTCACGCCGTACACCATCTCCGGATATCACGATATCATCTACCCCATCTACTTCCCCGGCTTACGAAGGCAAGTGCTTTTAAATAGCTTTTCACTTCCCTCAGACACTTCGGATGGTTGTGACGCGGTACCCTGTTGCAGCTATGCTTATGTGTCACATAGTACTTTGAACGCACCCGCTATGCCTATGCGCTTACAAAATGAGACGAACACTTCGGCTGAGTTGCAGCCTATCTGCAAACCTGCGTTTGAGTATGTCATAATATATTGTTACCTGCATCCTCCTCAATGTAGATCTGGATTCCACTGCAAATGAACCCTTTGCTGGGAAAACACCTGTTTTAAGAAGCACTTTCATGATCTGCTTGCCAGACAGTAAGTTCTTTGCCATTGTCATTAAACCACTGCAGCCGATGATTACGACTTTGCCTAACTGCTTAAAGGCCAGCCTGTGAGAACGCAACCTTGGCCCTTTTTAGGGCCACCTCCTGTTTCGTTTCCGTGTGCTTCCCTCTTGCCAACCCGACGCAACTGCTCGGTTGACGGCATTGATTGGAACATTCGGTAAATGAATAGGACGGTGGCTCTGTAATCCTCGCAGGAATGGCCCAATTGATGTGTAACTACGCCTACAAGCCCATGCATTCCTTGTTCGCCATGCTTCCCTTTAGGTACATTACATTTACCCCACTCCTTAGTGATCCGCTGTGTTGACGTGACGCATATGACGTGTCCGGCACATTTGCGTGAGCAATTTGAATGGGTCTGAAAAACAACGTTCCCGGAAATGTTATCTGTGCCCATAGGTTTCTTGATAATTCGGTTATCATTTGCATGTAACCATATCCGCATCGTCCCAGTGCTGTTAAAAAGCTAGCTATTGGTGCCTACTGATGGGCACTTTTGGTGCTCTTGCAATGAGCTTTTGCCCCCGTCTGGACGGGTAGACGAAGACATATGTAGGCTACTGTATCACTAGTGCACTAGTGCTGCTAGTGCTAAGTGAGCTATCTAGGCTATTTTATGGCCAATGCAACAGGCCTCTAATAAAATGTCTTGAGGCTCCAAGACCTACCTTCTTGGTGATATTGCTAAGAGACCTATGTAGGCTACTGTATCACCAGTGCAGCAGGTCTGTGCTGATACGTATAGAGGCTCCGAGACCTACGCCATTGCTGCTAGTGCTAAGTGAGCTATCTAGGCTATTTTATGGCCAATGCAACAGGCCTCTAATAAAATGTCTTGAGGCTCCAAGACCTACCTTCTTGGTGATATTGCTAAGAGACCTATGTAGGCTACTGTATCACCAGTGCAGCAGGTCTGTGCTGATAGTATAGAGGCTCCGAGACCTACGCCATTGCTGCTAGTGCTAAGTGAGCTATCTAGGCTATTTTATGGCCAATGCAACAGGCCTCTAATAAAATGTCTTGAGGCTCCAAGACCTACCTTCTTGGTGATATTGCTAAGAGACCTATGTAGGCTACTGTATCATCAGTGCAGCAGGTCTGTGCTGATATGTATAGAGGCTCCGAGACCTACGCCAACAGGCCTCTAATGATATGTCTTGAGGCTCCAAGACCTACCTTCTTGGTGATATTGCTAAGAGACCTATCTAGCCTAGTGTATCGCCAGTGCAACAGGTCTGTGCTGATATGTATAGAGGCTCCGAGAATTACATTCTTGGTTATAGCGCTAAGAAACCTATTTACCTTGTGAAGCCCTAGTGCTAACAAGCTTCCGAATTTCCGTTTACATCCTGACAACTGGCTCGTCACATCCCACATGCCCTCCACTAGGCTTGTGAAGCCCCTTGACCCATAAACTTCTCACATGCCAACATGTTCATTCCTTCATCACATGCTTGAAGTGACTGCGGACTTGCATTGTTATCATTACACTGAACACGTGGGCATAGGTCTGCTTTGCAAAACTAGTGGGGCCCTATGGACTGCGGTGTGCACTTCCTCTACTCAGTTTAGTTGTTTTGGCATAATGAGTATATTCTTACTGAGGCTGGCAATAGGTGTCCATTTAATACCCCGTGACGTTACTCTACATGAAGTCAGCTACGCTGCTGACAATAATATAAGGAGCACACGGACGCATCCTCCTTGGATAGATCGTACCGGTAAATACCTGCTCACGAAGCTCTCTAAGTGCTGCCGAATTTACCAGACGGCTTCATCAAACAAAACCTACGGAACCTACCAGGCGGTTAGCAATAAATGTAAGCTAAATATCAGCATGGCTCATCTTTAATTACGGTTGAAATCGTAGGGGATATCTGCATCCTAGCAATTCATTCGATACCAGTGCTTAGTACTGTGGTACTGTGTTGCATAGATTAGCATCCTTTAATGAGAGTTGTTTACCAAACCTACTTCTCCCACGTTGTATATCTATTTCATTAGCAACTACCTCAATTTCAAGTTCAAGTGGGACTGGAACAATAGGATAAATCCCGTAAGTGGACAGCCTCAATTACATTTACATTTACAGATAGCTCGATGTATTCCGCTCACGGCGACGGTTAATTTTCTGTCAGTGCAATTAAGCCTTGAGTTCACTGAGTAGTAGATAGCAGAAGAGAGGCCCCGTGAAATCTTCTTCACTTCGTCGTGAACCGATTTATCTAACGGTGTCTAGACAGCTGCTGTATTACTTTCATTACTTAACATTTCACTGTAACCTGATAACTTCTATAACCCTTTTAGGCATCATAATACAACCACAGAGCTTTCCAGAATATCGATCAGAACCTTCTCAATGCGAAACGGATCCCACCAGTGCAACAATCAATTTGACTGTCAATAAGATACTCACAGCTGCCAGAGATATACCAGCTAATGGCATCCTTTTCTGTTGCGGGCACGTCAAATATTCCCGCAAAAACGCGCCAGAAACCCCAGCAGAATGGCTGTGGAAAGCGAGGGCCAATTCCTCCCCACAACGCAGCAGAGCTCAGCCACTCCGAGACGCGGCCCAAACTGCGCACCTTCTGACAATGGTCATTTACAAACTACCACCTCTTCGTGGTGACAGTTTTCCTTAACTTAATAACCCATAGCACTCTCTGTGATTGCCCTTTGTCGGTCGTAAAAGAGCCTACAGAGGACCACTTGTCTTTTCTTTCTCTTCGCCTCAGTTGGGAGTCGGTCGGATCGCGTGATTGCGTGTGCATCGTTAGCTGGCCAGCCTTCGCGTCTAAGCCATTAGAGCGCGTCTATCGTAAACCCCCCTCTCGTCTGCGTCCGTCCGAGGCTCGGCGTCTATCCGAACACGTGCGGCTAGGATCGTTAGCAAGCTCGCTCAATTATCCGCCTCACCGGCTAAGCCAGCGTCATCAGGACAGCGCAATTCCGTTCGAGTGGTCAGCGTAGCAAGCAATTATCGTAGGCGTGCCAGCGACCCTCTTATCAGGCAATTACGCAATTATCTCAAGAGACGGCGTTCCCTCAATCATAACAGTGGCGACGCAATTATAACATTTCCAAAGAAGGAACAATGATATTGTGTGATTTCTACCTACCAGATAGTAACTCAACGTCCTTCTCCTTTGTTGACATCGTTCATTTTTGTGCCAACGGTTACCAATAGTAATCGTCATATTGGTGCATTCAAACACACATTTACAGGTTAAGCTGACTAGAAAATACCCATCTCCACGCAATTCTAATCACGTCCATGCAGCCAATCGGATAGCTTCGCCATCTTGAATTCACACCGTTTGTCTTGCCACTAGTGGCCAGCAAAGTTGCCTTCAATTTGAAAACTAATTAGAGAGCAGTCAAAGTTTGTTTCACGTGCTTATATGCGATTTTTATCCTTGCTATTTTAGTGATGTATTCGATGATAGGTTGCGGTTAGAACTTGAATTACCTTTTCAAGGTCTACTGGTTGTACTGTTAGTTACGTGGCCTAACCTTTCGTTCAATGCGAAGGCAGTGGGGCGCTCCTCGCCGACTTTCTCGCGGGCACCCGAAGACAAATGCTGTTAAAAGGTCATCATATAAAACGGAGGACAATGCCACTGCCGACAGTGTGGACTCTCAGGCGTTCACTGACTCGGAAGGTGCCCTTTCGGCCTCGAATGAGGCACGGTTCTTACGAGCCAAGACTAATGATGTCATGGACAGACGATATGGCTTCGAGCCCTTTTTAGGCCCAGGGGAGCGTATTGGGTGGTTGCTAAACATGCATCCAACAGACACGCTGGATGATGCAAAGCGATTGGTGTCAGCTGTTAGTTTGTACTTTATTCAAGAAAACGGCACTCGATTTAAAGTCACGCGACCCTATCTGCCGTATTTTTTCTTATCAGTCCGTGGCGGATCAGCATGTGAGCGGGATGCAACAACATTCCTATTTCGGAAATATGGCGGCCGACTAGCTAGCATTGATGTGGTTCAGAAGGAGGACCTAGACCTTCCAAATCATTTGGTTGGGCTCAAAGGCACTTACTTGAAACTCATATTCTACAGTGTGGATGAACTAGTTGCTGTCCGTCGAGAGCTAGCTACTCGAGTACGCTCAAATCGTGAACTTGCGAGCTCAGCTTCCACCTACACCGATATGTTAGCTGAACACTTTGCAAGCAGTTCAGAGCCTACGAAAAACCCGTCTTCATTGGAATCAGGAGGGTCTTCAGGAGTTAGAGGCGATCCTTTGGATAACATAATTGATATTCGTGAGGCCGATGTCCCTTATCTTATGCGAGTTTGCATCGATTTAAACATCTTCGCTGGATGCTGGTACATGACTAAATGTCGCCCTGGGCTTCCTGCCGAATTGATAAAGCAGGAGGATGCGATAGCTTGGCCAGAGCCCGTAGTGCTGGCTTTCGACATAGAAACAACTAAACTTCCCCTGAAGTTTCCTGATTCTTCAGTTGATCAGGTGAGTACTTGTCGACCTCGTTTCCGTCAGTCATTGAATAGCATATCTACCCTACCTGGTTATACAACTACTTTTATTATCAGCTAATCTCCATCATTTGATGTTGTCTAAAAACCGTCATCATCAAGCTTCTATAGTTTGTTTCTTCTTATTCATGGTATTGTTTATGTTCATCTGGTACCACTATTATGCAGTTTTTCCTGCACATTTACTAGTGCTTAGGCGATATATATATATATATATATATATATATATATATATATATGTTCAGCGCCAAACTACTTTGTGTCAGCTACACATTCCGTATGCTCTTACAAGGTTTGAGCTATTTCTGTTCTATGAGCACACAATAAGTCACTCCAGTGATGGCTCAGATTAACGTGTCTAAGAACCGCTGTTTCGGTGTGCATTGCTATCTTTTTTCTAACATCACGTTTGTCTTTTTGGCACCGCCCTCCTGAAATGGTATTATTTCGTTTATTAGCTTGCGGCACGAATCTTCGCAAGGTGATCCTAGCGGATATTTACAGCCTCTGGTCTGTGGTGCCAATGTTCTCAATTCATAAAACTAAACAATGCGATCAGTTGCTTCACTATCCTCTGCACTGGTAGTTCAAATTATCTTCAGTTGAAAAGCTCCAGACCATCGGCAATGTTGACGTTTCGCTGTTTGGCTTGCAAACCGCATTAAAAGCAAGGTACCACACACCTAGATAATAGTTTAACAATTTGTCATTTATATATCAGTGGCGTTCATAATGGTTGTCCGGTTTCCCCGTGTTTGTTCACTTTTTTGGTTCCTATCATGGAATGTTCCCTTGCGGAACCTCACGATGTAAGCGTTAAGGTCCTGCTTGGCGGACGATATCGTCTTGCTTTTCGGCAATGTTGCGACGACACAATCAACCCTGAATAGCCTGTCCAAAGTGTTTCCATTATTTGGAATGCGCTCCGCATCTTCAAAGTTCACATTGTTGCTGCAGGACCACCAGCCACTTGATGACCCCTTTACCCTTGATAACGAGGAACTCGAGCTGGTTGATCGACTCACCTTGGCAACTGCATCAGGAACCATGGTGCATAGATACTGAAGTCAGTTCACTCATTACAAAGCCAGAACTGCCTACTTGAAACTGCGGCATTTTGGAGACAAAAGATAGTTTCCCTCAGTCTGAAAGGTCGTTCTCCTCTATAGTAGTGAAACTTGGCCACTTCTGTCCGAAGATCTGAGGTGCCTTTAAGTCTTTGATCATCGTTGTCTGCGAAACATTGCTAGTGTCGGATGATATCAGAATGTCCGCAATGATGCTTTGCGTAGGCAATTACTAGGCACTGATAATCATGCTAGCTGGTTAGAACAACGGCTAGCACTGAATAAGTTGCGTTGGCTTGAGCACGGGCTACGTATGCCTGGTCATCGCTTACATAGGAGGGCCTTGTTTACTCTGCTAAGTGTAGGATGGCGCAAGGATCGTAGTGGACAGAAGTTGACTTGACAGCGGGAACTGAAATCACTGACGACCAAACTAGGTGCCGTTGGTCCTTCTCGCCTTCTGGGTTGGAGTCCACGTGACCCGCCTTGTGGTTGGCTGTACACTTTACAGGGCATAACTCGCAGTCGACACCAGTTGCGCTTCTGCTATTTGGATTGTCTGTTTAAAGTGTACTTGGTGCTGACTTATCCGCTTATGTCGCGGGGCAGTGAAACCCGCAAGGAAGCTATCTCGCCAATGCCGCCTTATTGTACGGTAGTCAGCTGTTTGTGCAGGTATGTTGTTAACACAAGGTGTAGGCGCCTTGATCCTGAATGTTTGCTTAGGGCATTAAGATTTTCTGATAAGTCCCCTTCTCTTCCTCTGATTATTCTTTATTCCATAGATCATCATGGTTGTATGTCAACGAAGCATCAATTCCAATAGCTAAGGTACTGCTGTTTTTGATGTTGACCGTGTTCACTTCTTTTTTATTCTCCCTCTTACTCAGACTTACTAGGTTAACATGTAACAGTCCTCTTTTTGTCTACACTTGCGCTTTGCACTTTCAAAGTACAAAGTGCTCTTCTGTGACTACCTGCCACTTGACCCTTGACCCTTCATAGCGAGAAATTCGTGGTAGTTAATCAATTCCCTTACCTTAGCAGTTGCATCAGCAACGATGGGTTCATAATTAATGAAGTCGGTTCGCGTAATACCAAAGCTAGAACTTCCTGAGTCTGTGGCATTTGTGGTGTCAAAAGGACTTTCCTCGATCTGGTAGAACGTGTTTACAAGGTCACAGTCTGACCAGGGTACATATTCGAGCCCTAGTACCAGTAGACAAATGAACTCGAACGCAGCGGACTACATTCGAGGAGCTACACGAAGACGATTGAAGTGAACAGGAGTGGAGGTCAGAGCAGTTACTCACCGAGCAGACGTTGGGGAATCGGATCCAAGCAAATATGATAGGGTAGAGGACTGTGAGACATGAACCAACAGTGTACAACCGATCTGTAATAAAATTTATACATGAACGATAATTATCTTCTTGGATCTTACCAGCTGACGCACATCTTTAGGCATCTTGAACGCACTAACTTCATTACATCCCATGACAGCTACACGATCGTCTTTATGTGATCACGTCATCATCAGAAGCAGCACATTCATTTCACTTCAATTCAGTTGAACAACTATGATCCGAACACCGAAGTGCGTTGGATCCAGTTGTCTTGACTCACACCATAAGGATAACAATAATTGACAACGATGGGACAGTGGGTTTGGATGCGAATACAATGTATAAAAAATAGAAGCAAGAAGGAAATACGTTAGACTAATCAGTTCAGAACGAAATTAACGGTCAAACGAAAGAAATTGAATACAGGAACGCCACTGACTTCGTGACTGCGTTATGTCTGACACGGTCCAACTATTGCTGTTCACCGTTCCGATACGCTGTTAAAGTCTATACATGCGGGAGTAACGCTAGTCTGCGAACGCTATAACAGCTCGTAGCCAAACGACGCAAAGGCGACAGAACACAACTAGCTAGCAGCACGCAAACATGTACAGAGCATCGATCAAGTAACTGAGGCCAAGCCACGGGTAAGTAGGTACTCGATGGACGACACACACGCATGCTCAGTGCTGGGTGTGAACACGGATTGGAGGTGGTGACTCATACGCCACAGACCGCCATCCAGAAGGAAGGCATGCACCAGCCTGCCCAAGTCAGTCAATTTCTTCCTGCCTCGATCGATGTCACGTCATGGACTGGCCACCTCGAGGTTTCGCCCAATCTGGTGCAGCCACGGCGTATAATGTCCGCCGAGGATGCCAGTCAACTGGCATGCAGAGAACATGGCCTAACCAACGCATGCGACTAAGATTTAGCAAACAGTCGAGTGAGACACCAGAAAGCTTTTTGCCAAAAACCAACTGGCGGATCTCGGCTTTGCTCACCCGGTGTGTCCACCAGACGTGAGCAATAATCCTCAAGCATCGATGATCAAACACGTCCCAGCGTTTAACGTCTTCGCCGCGAACTGGCCAGGTCTCTGATCCATATAGTAAGACCGGCCTTAGCGCAGCGTTATACACCCTATCTTTCACTGACATTAGCACTGTACATCATTGCTTCGCCTACATAAATCTATAAATGAAAGGGCAACTCCACTAATGAAGAATTCGCAAAAAGGTTTGAAAGGTAATAATGTCTAGCTTAGACATCTCTAGTGTTATACAGGACGTCACATGCACCTTATCAACCCTATGCGCTCGCATATGACCGGTTGTCGTGTTACAGTAGCACGGCATCAGCAAACCTGCTTCTTTTCCGCGTTTTCTACCCCAAGCCATAATTGGCCCTGTCTAAATGATGCTGCAACCCATGCTTTACGTAACCAGTTCGGTCTGGGGATGATGGCACATGCAATGCTGGTACCCTTTACCTGTCAAATGCCCAAATCTCTCCTGTCCAGTAATCAACGCCAAACGGACCGACATCACTCATCTTAGTCATCATTATCAACATCAATACATCAGACATTTGAATTTATATTTTGCTGCCCCAGGGGACGGTTTCATGGATGGTCGTATTACTTTGCTTGAACTGATAACGATTCTTACAATTCTTCTTACTATCAGCTCTTTCTTGATAGCAAACTCCAAACACTTCAGATGAAACATCGTTACACTTAGACAATTTTCTTCACTATGTGATTACGTTGTACAATGTGATCAGATCACGTACTTGGTCTGTGTCTCGCAATGTCGTGCAATACTGCATTTATTATTTGTTTATTTATTTATTACAACCACGGTGACCTACAGAACGAAGAATAGAGTAAGAGAAGGGGACCTGGCCTAAAACCTTAATGCTCTAAGCAAATAGTCAGGATCGAGGCGCCTACATCTCATAAACAACATACCATCACAAACAGCTGACTACCTTACAAAGATAAGGCGGCATCGGCGAGATAGTTTCTTTGCGGTTTTCACTGCCTTGCGTCATAATCAGTCATTACCGCGCAGATAACTCTGCACTAAACACACCTCAAACAGGCAACCCGACAATGAAACGAGAATAGATGCACCACTGGTACTGATTGCGTGCCGTTTTGTAACACCTCTAGCCAAACACAAGTTGGTCACATGGACTCCAACCTGGACCGCAAGACGGACCAACGGCATCCGGTTTTGTTGTCAGCATCTTCATTTCCCGCCACCAAACCAATTTTGTCCGCCTTGTACCAGACGCCACTCTACATCTTGTAAACAACAAGGCCCTCAGTAAGTGGTAACCGGTCGTACGTAGTACGTGCTTAAGCCAACGTAACTTTTTCAGTGTTATCTGTTGTTCTAAGAAACTAGACGCATTATCTCCACCTAACACTCATTTACACACATTCTCGTTGCGGACATGCTGATATCACCCAACACCAGCAATGCTTCACAAGTAACGATAACTAATTACTTGAAGGTGCTTCAGTTTCTCACATTGGTGGGGCCGTTTCATTTTTATAGAGTGGGACGGTCCTCACAGTGGCCCTGCTAACACGTCTTTCCAGACTAAGGGAAACCCTTTTCTGACGCCACAAATCTCACAGATTCAGAAGTTCTAGCTTTTACAATACGCGAACCGGTTTCAGTGGTTATGCGTCCATCGTTGTTGCTTGCAGAGAGGTGCATTGATCAACTATCTCGAGTTCTTCGCTCTCAAGGGTCACGGGATCATCAAGTGGCCGGTGGCTTTGCAACAACTATGCTTTGACAGTGCGAAGCGCATGCCAAATAGACAGACTACTCTAGGAACGCTACTTAGGGTTGGTACGACCTCCTCGACATCACTAAACAGCAAGATACTATCGTCCGCATAATCAACATCAACTAGCTTTTCATAAGGCAGCATCTCAACACGTGTATTGTGAGGTTCCGCAAGAGAACATCTTATGATGAAGTCCACGAAGAAGTTGAGCGAAAATTGGGAAATTCAGCAGCCCTATCGCTCGTTACTTGTTGTCGGGAAGAGATCTAATAAGTTACCTAATCCCTGCCGCGGCCAATCTGTTCGACTATATGGCACGTAAAATGTTCAGCGCTTTCATGGGAACACGTTTCCGCACAAGTATCTCGAACAGAATAGATTGATCGACTGAATCGAACTCACTCTTGAAGTCCAGGAACATAGCTATTGTCCATCTGCGGTATGCGCATCGCTGCTCTATCATCTGCCTCAGAGGGAATATGTGGTCTATACAGGCCCGTACTGGCCGGAGACCTGCGTACTTTTCTCCACTCTGGGATTGTCCTACCCCAGTTAGGGGACAAACGAGCATTGGCGCTAGTAGTTTCTCACGACTGGCGTTAGGCTAATGCCTCTGTGATTAGCACAGTCGGTTCGACTGCCCTCCTTGTATATTACCGCTGTAATCGAATCACTACAGTCGCTGGGTTGATCTTTTCCAGAACTGTTCGAACAGAGAGGTTAGTGCGTTGCAGTAGACTTCACCACTATCCTCAAATAGTGCTGGTGCGAGGGAATCCGCACCAGCAGCTCGAAAACGATTAAAGGTTGTAATCGCATTTGGAACTTCAGCCTCTGATGGAGCCGTCCACAACTTGGCCTGCGTCAACTGAATAGTAAAGGGTCCGGAAGCAGGGGGCCAACTGAACTGATCTCGAAAGTGCTCCACCGAACGAGCAATACGGTGCTCATTATTGTGAATGAGGGCACCAACGCTGTCTCCGGTTGTCTCACTAACGCCTGGTTTCCGGCGCCAGTGGTGCGCATCTGTAGGAATTGCTTGTGATAGTGCCTACTACTCCAGCCTCCTCCATTTCTCGAGCCCAACTGGCCCACCAGGCCTCCTTGTCAGCACACAGTCTTCGCTTTAATTTTAACCCAATCGTCAGTCTCTTTACATTGTGCTCCGAACCAGTCGGGTTTTCTTCTGGATTCCAACAGGTTTACTGACCTGTCGGATATCCAGTGGCTAATGCGGGACTGTTAACGCGGCAAGCAATCTTCGGCGTCGTATATGGCTGCCGGAGACCGAGTAGTCTGCACGCTTGGTTGGCAACCATAAGGTCACCGGTTCGAATCCGCGCAAGAGTGAGTCACCTTGCGGTATGCAGCCCACGCGCAACTTGTGGTGGGCATAGAAGAGCCGTTGCGGCTTAAGGCTGGCGATTTTTTATTCTGTTGAAGCGCAATCTCATTAAGACAGAGCGAAATTTCTCTACTCGGGGTATCCTAGTAGACTTGCTTGATTATAGACTATGATAACTACTCAGTCGCCAATCGTGAGGGCGCTTGGCTCGCGAACCAGCAGTAGCATTTTTTCGCTTACTTGCTCTGCTGTATGCAGCAGACAAGGTGACACTTGATAAACTGCTCGACAGCCCACGCAGGTTGTGGTCGATCTCTAAGGCAATCGTCGTGGTTGTGTGGGCTGACATAATGTCATGATGCCAACACATGGGCTGGAAGCCTGTTAGCGTTCTCAACTAAAGCCTTTTGTTCAAAAGCTTGTCCGCAAGGCGGCAGGGTGGTGGCATTGATTCGTTTTTACAGCAGTGGATCTCATCCCATTTCCTACCACCGACTTGGAGGACCAGAATACTGAGTTTGTCTGACGTCTAGGGGCTCGTAGTTCACCACCCAGTATAACTCAACGGGTCGAAGACGTACGCAAACCGTCGCACCACGTTAACTCAGTTTAGTTGTTGGCGACTTTATTTCCAACCATTTGGTCAATGATTTTACCCCTCGAACTCGAGATGGTTGATCAATTCACTTACCTTGGCAGCTGCATCAGCAACGATGGGCGCATAGAAACTGAAATCACTTCACGCAGTGCAAAGCCAGAACTGCCTTTTTGAACTTGCAGCATCTTTGGTGACAGAAGGACGTTTCCGTCCGTCTGAAAGGCCGTGTATACAAGGCCATGGTGAAGGCTGTGCTGCTTTGTGGGAGGGAGACTTGGCCCCTTCGGTCTGAAGATCTGAGGTGCCTTCAAGTCTTTTATCCTCGTTTTCTGCGGAGCATTGCTGGTGTCGGGTGGCACCAGCGTGTCCGCAATGATGCTTTGCGTAGGCGAGTACTAGACAATGATACCCAAGCTAGTTCCTTGGAAAAACATATAGCAGTGAATAAGTGTTGGCTTGGACACGTGCTACGTATGCCTGGTCATCGCTTACCTAGGAGGGCCTTGTTTACTCTGCTAAGTGTAGGATGGCGCAAGGATCGTAGTGGACAGTTGACTTGGCAGCGAGAAATGAAATCACTGACGACTAAACTGAGTGCCGTTGGTCCTTCTCGCCTTCTGGGTTGGAGTCCACGTGACCCGTCTTGTGGTTGGCTGTAGACTTTACAGGGCATAGCTCGCAGTCGACGCCAGTAACGCGTCTGCTATTTGGATTATCTGTTCAAAGTGTGTCTGTTGCTGTGTTATCTGCGGGGTAATGACTGATTATGACGCGGGGCAGTGAAAGCCGTAAGAAAGCTGTCTCGCTGATGCCGCCTTATCTTTGTAAGCTACTTAGCCGTTTGTGCGGGCATGTTAACACAAGGTGTAGGCGCCTTGATCCTGAACGTTTGCTTAGGGCATTAAGGTTTTCTGATAAGTCCCCCTTCTCTTCCTCTGATTATTCTTTCTTCCATAGGTCATTGTGGCTGTATGGAAGCGAAGAATCGGTTCAAATGACTGATGTGTTGTTGCTGTTGTTGTTGTCGTTCACCTACCAAGATCCGGCAAAATACAAAGATCATGATGATCGGACTTTAATGATGACACGGCTACAATACTTTGCACCGGGGACTTCAGAAGGACGAACAAATAGGTGCCATTGGTCGCATCCTGTTTCCGCTAATCTGTTCCACTGTATGCCGCAGATAAGACAGTCCTTTTAAACCTGCGCGCCACGTCACGGTCACTACCGATGAAATCGTTATATGTTTTTGATGCTCCATTTACTCGCTGCTTTCGCTCACGCATTTCAGGAGTAAAAGGCGCGTGTAGCCCTTTTTTACTGGTTTCTAATTTTTGCCCATAGCGTGCTTACATGACGTTATAACAACCTTGTCTCTACGGTAATGAACCCGTTTTTTCCGTTTTTATCTGCGTCTCGCTAGTTGACCGTATATTGTCGTTCTTGGCATTCATGCATATTTTTGCTTTGTTGTAGATCATGATGATATCATACATGCTTGACGGTTCTGGATATCTGTTGTGTAACCGCGATATCATTTCAGAAGACATTGAAGATTTTGACTTTACACCTAGACCTGAATTTCCCGGTCACTTCGTGGTCCGCAATCTTCCAACTGAATTGGATTGCATTACCGTCTTTTTTGAGCATATTCAGCGCGTACAGCCAAACGTGATTGTTACGTACAACGGAGACATGTTTGATTGGCCTTTCGTTGAAGCCCGCGCGGCCTTCTACGGTATTTCTATGTCGGAAGAAATTGCTTTCTCTCGACATAAGGGTACTCCTGGACCTGGGCGCAGTGGTACTTCCGGGGAGTACTTGTCTAGGCCTGTGGTGCATATTGACTGTCTTTGCTGGGTGAAGCGTGATAGCTATCTTCCTGTTGGCGCAAGAGGACTAAAGGCAGTTGCTAAGGCAAAGTTGAGGTACGACCCCATCGAAGTCGATCCTGAGTCAATGTGCCGAATGGCCCGCGAAACTCCAAGGGAGCTGGCAAACTACTCGGTCTCGGATGCGGTTGCAACATACTATTTATACATGAAGTACGTACATCCTTTTGTCTTCGCGTTGTGCACCATTATTCCACTCAACCCGGACGATGTTTTGCGGAAAGGTTCTGGTACTCTTTGTGAGGCACTCTTAATGGTACAAGCTTACATAGCGAATGTTATTTTCCCACACAAACAAGGTGCTGGCGACTCGGCACTCGATAGTCTGCTTTTTGGTGGGTCAAGCGCTGCAAACCGTTTTACCGAAGATGGAAAGTTGATCGACTCGGAAACTTATGTTGGTGGTCATGTGGAAGCCTTGGAAGCTGGCGTTTTCCGTGCGGATATTCCTGTGCGATTTCGCCTGGTTCCAGCAACCATTGAGCGGTTAAGAAACGACGTACAGCGCTGCCTTAAACGCGCACTGCAATCGGAGGTTGGAGCAGATGATGAAGAGGCTTTGAACAGCTTGGTCCCAAAGGACAATTTCCTTAAAGTGAGACAGTGCATCCACTTTGTCCAATGTCTCATCCATATTGATGTTTTATTACTTCAGCGTTCACAGTTACGTCTATGTTGGTATTCCTATCTTCGTTGTTCACTGCTACTATGCACTTTGGGTTTCTAAGTTATGTGTTAACAGGTTTGGTTACTTAAGTCCTAGCCATCTATTTTCCAAATGTTTCACTTTGTTCCTAGCCTCATCGCCATCTCACGCAGCTTTCTGTATTTTCGATATTTTGTAGAAATGTAATGTTCCTTATCTTTTACCTAGCATTGTATTTACCGTCTTGAGCAAATTGCTCGAACAAAATTTTGAACATGCAGCGGAGCTGTGCCCAAAACGTTTCTTCGGTCCATAAATCTCAACAAGGTCACTTCGATCTCTCTACGAGGCGGCCTTTGGATATACGGTGTATTCACATGGTCATGAACAACGGAGCTGACGTATTCATGCTTCTTTATCGTGCAGTCGCTCGTATACGCTTCCAAAAACACTTCTTCCACATATCATCTTAATCTGGTTTGGCTATATTCCAGCACCATCAAAACCTTCGAGCACTACTGTTAGTTTAGACCTCGTAGTATGCAATGGCTTGAAAAATTGCCTTGGACCTATCGAGAACTCATGATTTCAGAAGGGTTTGAAAACAACCGGTTAGTATGATTTGTGTGCTACGTTCCACTTTTGACACTAAAGTTCGGTCTGCCCGAGGAACAAGTCGATGTTTGGTATGGCACTTAAAACGAACTGGGAAGGCAATCTCACAGAATGGATTGTAGGTAGAAGATTAATCGCATTACAAGTCAAACTGTCACTCCTAATGGTATATGGAACTGTCCCAAGTGGTCCTCACTACAAGGTCACACACTTAGGCCCCTGTCAGTGAGGGGTGTGGAGATGATGCGATGTTCATTCTCTACCCCGGATGCATTCCCTAACGCTCCTCAGACTAGTCGGGGTAAGATAGCTTGGCACGCGTACGAAACCCCTACTCCTCCATTCTGTTTACCTAGCTGTTCATCTTGCTACTATCAGCTACCACAGCAGTCAACTTTTTGGGTGTTAATCATAACCCTTCCCAACGATTTCGATGTTGTCCAACGATCTCATGATCTATATCTATCGCGTGCATCGTTTCTGCTGAATCTCTTGAGTAATAATAAATAACTCGCCAACTGTACCCCATGACGTCGCTTCGCTGCTGCGCGCCCACCACCAGTCGCGAGTGGGATAAGTATACCACGAGGACGCCCCCCTCTTGCGCGGATTCGAATCGGTGACCTTATGGTTGTAAACCAAAAGCGCATACCACTCGGCCACCGGCCCCTTTTGTCCTGCTATCTTTGTGCGTAGCTCTCTTGTAGTGTGGTCTATGTGCGCGGAGTTTGCAACTAATTTTGATGCCGCAATTATCATACTTACGGGAATTGTGTCCTTCAAGTGCACCAGTGTCGGGCAGAGCGTTTGACGCTTCTGTGAAATATTCTTATCTTAGCTTTGTTTAGTGCCCTCCAGATGATCTCAGAAGTGCATCCCTCATAAAAAATTCCTACCTTCCCAATCCGCCTCCTAGTACACCGTTGATGGGGTTTAAAAATTCGCTGCAACTGATGTTCCACTAATCACCTCGGTATCCATTATCAAGCAAATACATTAGGATAGCCCAAGTTGACCATTTCTATGGGTTGACTGCTTTTTCATGCATTGAACGTTCACCATGTAAAACTTAAGGAACCAGACCTATGTATGTTGACCACTTGGGCCATAACTGTTATTATTAGTTTAACATCTATAAGTTGACCATATGGAGCTTTACTGTGCAATGCTCACCGATCGTTTATTCGAGCAACAGAAGGTGCGCAGAGAGCTTTTGCAATGTGCGAAATTCTTCTGCTCCACCATTACCACACCTGACGGTTTCGCAGACGTTGAACGATGCAGCATATTGTCTGTCTGTGTGTGTGCGCGCACGGGCTTTTGACCTGCCCCACAGTCTTCACGCGCATCGGTATCTACCTCGTACAATCTATCCCTGGGGCCACGCGTCCACAAATGGATCTTGACCGTTTTTTTTGTGAAATCTTTTCATGCATCAAGCCTACTTTGGAACATGTGCCCGCGCACTGCACAGGTCAAAATAAGGGGTTTGAGGGCCTGTCTAACGATCGATTAACAGGTTCTAAGCTAATCCGTTCAACCTGCTCACTAGCCCCTTGGATCATAGTGACATTGACGTTTACGTCCATTGATTGTTAAACCCTATTTCGCGCTATTTATTGTCTGCCCGAGAGCGCAAACAATTAAGATTTGTTATATGTAATTGACTTTCTGCAAATAACACGTTGGATCTTAGATCCACTCCGTACTTTGAGCAATTTTGGATCAGCTATTACGTCCATCGAAGCATTTTGACTTAAAGGAAATACCTCAGAAACGTTGACGCTGAGGAATATTACTCTGCTTCATTTTCTGGAACGCAGCAGCCAAAGAAAGACGAAACAACAGTTTAGTGTTTGCAAGACGACAGTTAGGAACACCCAACAACATATGCCGTTAGGTCTCTGGAACCATATCCATCCGTTACTGATGACTCAGCCGGCGTGCCTCTGTTGCATTTTTCTTGTCGTTTATATTGAGACACAATAGCTGGGGTGTTTTTTACCTATAGCTTTCATACATAATGATGATTATGATGATTACTTGGAGAGATACGATACTGAAAGAAGAGATGTACAGCGGAAGAGACGGAAAACTTTACACGACGAAGTCAGTGAGACTGCGCTGCGCTAGTCTAAACAAATGAGAGCAGTTACTGCTCAAATCTCCGGGACGATGATACAAGAAATTGCTAAAAACGATTTCATGAGAATTTGGGGTTGCCGATTTTTAAACATCAAATCGTTAACTGGAGAAATTTAAACAGTGATATAGCGTTTACCAGTAAGTCCTGTGTGGTATAACTACTAAAGTTCCTGAAGAGTTTTCTTAAGAACTCACTAAAAAATTTCCCGACTTCAACAAGCTTTTCAACGATGGTGACATTTTTAATGATAGCGAGTGCGGTCTCTTTTACCAAACGAAGCGCGGCAGGAGCCTTGTTATAAAGGGTGACGAATGTTAGAGCGAAAAGCATCCCAAAGGACGTTTTACTGTCATCGTATGCACTATCTCATGAGTAGTTCAGCCAGACCAGTTGTGTTCAAAAATCCGAGTCCTGCAAACCTTCCAGTCCTCTGGAGATAAACAAATCTGCGTGGATGACTGCTGTCATATTTGACGAGCGGATAAGAAAAGTTGACCAAGGGATGATGGAGAAGGAACGATTCATTCTACTGACGGGATAATTGTTCCAGTCACATCCATGTCGATAATATTACGGACATTACACTAATATTTCTACCTCCAAATATAACCTCAGAAATCCAACCTCTGGACCAAGAGGTCGTCAAAAATATTTAAGGCGCATTACCGAGTTCAGCTCATGCAATGTGTTATTACGACAATGAATCCCAATTATCTGAATGCAGCAAGAACTACATCTACTGCTTCATTCGGTGCTCTGGATGATGTGTTTTGCATAAGTTCCGCTCGGCACAAAGCCCAACCAGGAACAATACAAAAGTGCTTCCAGACTCTTGGATTCGTTCGAATTCGCTAACAGGAGGCTGTTAGTTTAACACTAGAACGCCCAGCGCGGTCATTCTGCTCGCTCAGCATTGTTAAATGCGCATAGTTTCTACATCTCCAAATATTGTTCAAAGATATTTCGTGACTTAATATTTTTACACGTCCTTCATAACTGTAAGTTTCACTTTCATTTCTCTTGAAATTTTCGAGAAGGGAAGTAGTTGTGTTCGTACTACCGAGAAAACCCTTTAGCGGTCAAAATGACCGCTTTCCTCTAATCCTGTTTCTTTATTCATTTTCAGTCGCCACTATTATTCCCTACAAAGTTACATGCAATATCGATCAAACGGGAGTGAAAGCTAGACGATTTACGATTTCCTAGTGATATTGTGCGTTCGGTCTGATAAATTTCAGTGCCATTGATACACAATGGCTCGTAGGAGGAGGACAGCTTTTAAGGTTCTACGAAAACTTATAGTATGATGTTTATGAAGACTTCATTTTCCAAGAGTCGGCAGAAGATCACAGCATCCCTGACAGTAACACACCTCATGAGGACAGCAATGAGAGTGTACCAGCCGATTCTGCATCTTCCACTGAGGTTCACATATCGAAAGATCGTACCTTGTGGATCGCAATGGAGAATAAAAATAAGCAAACATTAACTTCATACCAGTATAAAAGGAATAAAAGCGTTTTACTTTTCAGTTCCTTGTACAGGAACTCCCACTCAAGACTCTGAAAAGAAGAAGCCCGAGCCTGTATTGTTTTGCAACTCCACGAAGTATGGGATAGATGTACTCGACAAGAGCACTCACTGTCAACTCGTCACCTCGGCGGTGGTTGTTCCAATTATTTTTCAACGTGCTAGATTTGACTAGCACAAATTCCTGTATACTTTATAATAGTGTCTCCGAAAATAAATTATCCCGCCGGTCATATCTGGTGGGTTATGCGGAAGAATTGCTTGGATCCATACATCATACAGGGTACGTGACAACTCAGCGCAGTTGGGAAGCGTGAGACAAGTAAGCATCGGCAGTGTCAGATTGGTTGCCGTACAGATAACAAGTCAACGAGCAAGTGCTCTGAATGTGAAAAAATAGTTTGTGACTCATGTGGACAGATTCAAATGCAAATCCGGATAAGCAAGTGCAATTATTTTCAGGTCTAATAAAAATTGCAGCTCGATACAATTATTTTTTAGTTGCAGATATGTCCTACGCATTGTTTTTAATAAGTATATTGAACAAATTTATAAATAAAAGTCAGGATAAAGAAACACAGCAATGCGATCATTTTGACCGGTCCCGAGCACTCTAGGTATAACAGCAGAGATTTTAAGGGAACAGATTTTCGAGAGT